TTTGTCCTTCTGGTTTTTAATCGAGATGCTGTAAATGCAAAATGGCTTGGGCCCAACTTACAGGGACCCTGCTGCTGCAAAACAGCTGTTCTCAGGAAGGGGCCATGGACGGGACCACCTCTGGCTCTGTCCAGCAGCCGGTCATCAGAGGTCCATTTCCTCTGGGGCCGGACTATTGGAGGCGGAGGACCGGCAGGGACGGTCCTGGTGGGCGCTGCCCGCAGAGCTGCCTGGAGTGAAGGCCGGCCTCCTCTGCCTCCCAGTCCTTATTACAGCGGCAGACACTCACCGGGAGCCACAGAGCATGGAACAATTTTTATGAAGAAAAACTAGCCTCCAGCACAGGCAACCAGACAAGTGCAGATACCAGAGAAAAGCCAAGTTCCCATTTGGAAATGCTAGAAAAAGATAGGCTCACAGTGCGGGGAGGAGCTTTTTCTCATCAAATCTTTCTGCCTAGCAGTCGGGGCATCATCCTCGTGGGAATTTCTGACATCACCAGATCGCTTTACCTCCACTGGGGATCTCAGTTCTGAAATCCACAGCTGTCTTTCGTTGATAAACTGCCTTGGTCTAATTATCCCTATGGAAAGAATGACGGCTTTATGAAACTTAGTTTTCCCACTACCTGGTCGCTATCCGTTTTGCTGATTTTGACAAACTTTAAAGTAATTTAGTTGCTCATTATGATGCTTCCTGATAGTCCGCATCTCTTTCATAGCTGCATGGGTTTGTGCCGAGCTGTTGTTCGTCTTCAGAAGTAAATCGCTTTAGTACATCCCTCCCCCTCCTCTCCACCGCTACTATTGCCTCCACCACTACTAAACGCTAGTTGCTGTGTAGGTCAGTGATGGCGAACCTTTTGAGCTCGGCGTGTCAGCATTTTGAAAAACCCTAACTTAACTCTGGTGCCGTGTCACATATAGAAACTTTTTGATATTTGCAACCATAGTAAAACAAAGACTTATATTTTTGATATTTATTTTATATATTTAAATGCCATTTAACAAAGAAAAATCAACCAAAAAAATGAGTTCGCATGTCAAAGGTCCTAGGTTCGCCATCACTGGTGTGGGTGTTCCCTTCAAAGCCACCACTGACCACATTGCTGTGTGCTCTAATGACCAGAGCAGCCCTTGCTTCCCACACCCCTCCCCCAGAAGCTGGTATCAGTGTGTGGTAGCAGCAGTGGAGGAGATCCTGGTGAAGACACAGGTTGTAGTTATGTCAAGAGTTACAGCCCCTCACTGGTGGCCGTGGCAAGGCGATGGGCCCCAGCACAGGCTACCCCTGACCTGTGTGTCATATCCCAAAGCCAGACCCAGCGGACAATCTCAGAAAGCATCTCTACTGCTTTAGGCAGACAGACAGAACTGCTGAGAGGCAGAGCAATGGAGGTTGAGGCTCTCAAGGTCTCCCCACCCGGGGCCTTCAAGATCCCTGCTCAGCTTAAACACCTGCTTCCTCAGAGGTTCGCGCAGGTTCTGTGAGATCTATGCCAAACGCCGGATTGGACAGCCACAGATTTCAACTTTCAACTCTGCGGAACGGCCAAGCAAATGAGCCTCCATTTTCTTCTGCTTTTCATAAACTCCTCATCATCTTTCCAAAGTCAGTGCAGCCATCTCAGTGACTTCTCTCCCTGCGTAGAAGTAAATAGTCCCCCTTCTGCAAAAAGATTGCCTGGAGGACATTGTTTTGTATCTACTTATTCTACGTAGGTCTCTTCTTCTAGATCAGGAGTGGGCAAACTTTCTGACTCGAGGGCCACAATGGGTTCTTAAACTGGACCGGAGGGCCGGAACAAAAGCATGGATGGAGTGTTTGTGTGAACTAATATAAATTCAAAGTAAACATCATTACATAAAAGGGTACGGTCTTTTTTTTTTTTAGTTTTATTCATTTCAAACCAGCAGGATCTGGCCCGCGGCCCATAGTTTGCCCATGGCTGTTCTAGATCATTGGCCACTGGCGGTCAAATATTACTCATCTTTATGTCTCCAGTACCCAGCACAGGCCCTAACACACACACTTTATAAATAATCAACAAATAGCTATATATGGAACTAAACCAATTTATTTAATCAGCATGCCTCGATTGCTTGATATCATTACCGTAAAGAGTGACAAAGCATGAAAGACCAAATTCATATGTGAACTGCCTCACTTCTGCCATCTCATCCCCACACACGTGTCCCCACACAATCTGACTGTGGGTCCTGGAAAGGTACACTTTATGACGACGAGCAGTGACACAATCATACACGAGACTGCAGGCTTCCTGTTTACGTCTGCAGCATTACCTGTGCACGGACTGTCTGCACCTACTCATCTAGAGTTGAAAGTTACCCATCCACACACATGTGCCTCAAGATTCTCCTGATCCCCTTAACAAAGTGGCTTCCTCATAAAACCTGGCTTTGTACTCCATGGAGATTACAAATTTGAAGTTACAAACCAGCATTTATTCCCCTCTCTAACAATTTATTACAGAAGATTGGCTTTTTCTCCAATCTGCTGCTGGGTGTTGATATGACATCACTGAACTGGGTACGACAGAATCCAATATAAAGGTCTTATTAAAAGAAATGAAATAGCTGATTGATGCCAACTGGATACACTGTGGAATATTTGCATACCTGTGGGGAGCACACACACAGTGACCTTTTAAATGGCTTCATGCGCCGTGATTTTAATTCAGGTTTAGTTTGATCTTTCAGATTCCTGCTCCCTTCATGGTTGAAAGGCATTCCATATTCATCTGATAGAATAATATGCATAACCTGTCAAGGCAGAGACCTGTCCCATTATTCTCTGCAGCCTGTAGCTTGTGCTACATTCAGCTACAAAGGTGTGAGAGTTCAGCAGCGAACAGGTGGTTGGGGAAACTCTTTGAGGTAGTGGAGTCGATCAAAGCCTTTTAGGTAATCTTAAGAGGATGTTTCATGTGTTCTTGATTCACAGAGATGGAAGGAACCTTAGGGAGCATAGATGGAAGTCACTTGCCTCTGGGCCTTGACAGTTAACATTCTTTGAGCTACATGGATGCACACGTGTCATTCATGAAAGGAGATTCCATTGTCAACATTATTCAACTGCAGTTTTAAGTAACTTTCCTTAATAAAAAGATTTTCTTACATCTGACCAACGTTTTTTGTATTACAGTTTCTCTGCTGAGTTACTTTTTTTCACAATGGAGATGAAATAAATCATTCAGCGCCTTCTTACTGCATAGCAAGTATATATAGGACTCTCCTCATCACCACCAGGCATTGTTTCAATTCTGTTCTCCCTTCCAATACACTGGTCATCTTTATTATCGTCACAATCCTGGCCAGGTTCCCCAAATCCACAAATGTCAATTTTTGCAATCCATTATTTACGAGCACTCAGTAGCATGAGTAATGAGGTGGTGACTGCTCAGTCCTGGAATGTTATGTAGGGTGAATATTTTTCCAAATTGGATTTGCTTTAGAAAACCAACACTTATTTAAACATCTCTCATGTGACGGACACAGTGCTGATTTTTGAACTATGTTTCCATTAGATCTTTCTGCCAGAAGGAAATGAATGCAACTGGAGAGGTGGAGGAGCCAGTGTGGGCTTAAGTCCCCAAAGAGGCCGGGTGAGGCTGCAGATTTGGGCAGGAACCACCATGGCAAAAAGGCAGCAAATGAAGCCTTTCATACCTGTTCCTCACACCAGTGACTGCTTTACATAATTTCCTCTATTGCCATGGAATTGCAGAGTGCTAGACTGACATACTAGGAAGGTCATCATAATAGCAAGTCCACAACATCAGGCATGGTGATAGTCTGCCACCCAGGAAAGAGCCCAGCTCCACCACCTACTACTAACGGGACTTTGGAAAGGTTGTCTAATGTCTATGAACCTCATTTTCCTTCTTTGTGAAGTTGGGTATTAAGTGGTGCATTATAGTATTTTCAGGAGGATTATGTGAGATAATACAGGCAAAGGGCTGAGCCCATGATAGCTATTATTTTCTGCAGTTATCTATTTGCTACTTAGGGTTTTGTAGGAATGGAGTCCCTGTACCTGTTTTCTTGCACTTTATCAACCAGGTCACCATGATTTCTTCCTAATACTCAACTGATATCTGTCCAGTGTGAGGTAGCTTTTGTTGTGGTTGTTGACTTTCTTCCATGTCCTCTAGTGATAGTTAATCAAATATTTGAGTACTAGTCACAATCATAGGGCATTTTCCACCTACTATACATGCCTTATTGCATTTAATCCATTCTCTGTCCTCCCCCAATGAAACCGCTATCCCACAGTGGTCCCATGAGGCCTGGCTAGAGCCCTACCCCACTGTAACTCTGTTTATCTCTGAGAAATAGTTTGGCCTTTGGTTAATAGTTCCCTCCCCAGAAGGAGCCAGTTAAAATGTCCTAGACCAAGACAGCCATGGAATTGGCCTCCCGGAGACTTCAAACCTCTTGAGCATCACCATGATGACAACAGAAGGTGCCATAAAAGAACCAAAAAAGAGGCAGAATCCTGGTTCTGAGAAGACCACCACTGGTTTCCCCTTAGCTGCCGAGACCACTCCTCCATTTCTCTCCTCCTCTATCCACATCTCTGAACCCAAGCCCATGAGAAATGGATCTGAGAGCTACTAGGCTCCCACTTCTCCATTCTCTGGTCATTGAGTTGCTAAATAAAGCTCATTTTCGGTTTCATAATGGGTTTTGCAACACCTGATGGACAAAGAACCGGCTTGGGGTCCCAGAAAGGGGGATTTTGGGCAACAAAATCATATTACAGGTGAGAGAACCAAGTCTCAGAGAAATCAAAGAAGCCCCCTGAGACCACACAGGTAGAGCCTGGATTCTAACTTAGTCTTTCTCCCCTTTTTCCTCAGTCATGTTGCCCACAAGACATATATTTAGTCTCTTTTTTTTGGTAGACTAAATAATCTCCTTTTCTCCACTTTGGCAATCAGCTACTGATTTAAAAAATATGTATATCATTTTAGAAACATAAATCATGTTACCTATTTCAAATCCTTTTTGGAATGAATAATAATGATGATGTTGGGTTACATGTGAAAGGTGTGTTTTAAATATGAGTGGAAAACTAAACCAATGATTAGTAGTAGCAGGTCCAAATTATTTCAGGATTCGTTAGTTTTGACCAAGTTAGAAGGATTAATATTTTCCATCTCATGACACCTTTACTTACAGGTTAACAGGCTTTAACTGAACATGATCCTGGTAGTAGGAGTGTGCATCAAGTCCACCTATGAAATCAACTGAAAATATAACATAGCCCAATATGAATAAATGTCTAAATAAACACACACATCATAGTAGGTGTTTAAAATAGAACACATATAAATAATATTAACAAAAATACCTGTCTATCACAAAACGGAAAAACGTGTGCTTAATATAAAGGACAGCTCAAAATATTATCCATGGTTAAAAAATGGGGACATTTTAAGAAACACAAAGATGTGGGCATGTAGTGACTGAAAAATCACAGATGTTGTTGGTTTTAGTGAAAAATGAAGTCACATTAAAAAGCATTATATTTAAAAATAATGTGTTTGTCCTTAGGCATAGAGCTATGGCCTTTCCCCTTACATATCAAAAGCTGTATCTTCTCATCTTGTTGCCAGAATCCATTTTATTCTTAAGAATATTTATTGCACTGGTAGAAAGACCTCCGAGAAGTCACATAATCTATGCCCATGCCTTCTTCCCCAAACCATCCATGACAAATAGGCACCTGCCTTTTGCAAAGGTTTCGTCGCCTCTCTGGTGGCACAGTGCTCTCTCACAGTCTGCATACAATCACTGTTCTTGTGATATTCGTTCTCGCTGCCTGTCTTGATCACAGCCTCTGTCTTTCTTCTCCGATCCTAATGTCCACGGCTACTGTTAGTTCACCATTTCTGTGTGTTTTTTGTAGTTTACCACAAGTATAATTACTTTACAGCAAGCAATGGTTTTATTCTAGCACTCTGATGTTAGCAGGTACCTGGACATTTAGGGACATTGAACTCTCAGTGTGTGTGTGTGTGTAGATACACAGTATATGGGGGACATTAAATCATATCCTCAGCTCAAGACAGGCACTTCTGTGCACAGTGATTTAGAGTGAGATGACCCACTTAAGCTCTAGACACACTTGTCAATCCCTGATCTGCTCTATCCATTGCCTCCACTGGAGAAGCTGAGGTGAGAGTGGGCCAATTAAAGCTTCGCCAGAGCACAGTGCAGACAGAGCCTTGGAGTCCTGTGGGGCACATAGCAACCAGGTGGGAAGACCCATTTGCAGGTAATCCCCCTGGAGGCCAGAGGAGCCTGAAGCTTACTTTTTTCCTACCACTTCAGGTCAGGTCAGTCCCCTGGACACCACCTTCAGAGAGAAGCAGTGAGAGGGGAGTCCATCTGAGACATGAAAAGATTTTCCCAGGGAGAATAAGCAGTGCCTGAAGGGACCATTTACATGGTCAAAGTTTTTTTTTTTTTTTTTAAATTAGATTAGACACTTAATCAAACATTCACTTCTCCACCCTGCTGGCCAATGAATAAGAATTTTAAAGAAAGATAACATTGACTAAAAGTTGCATGAGCATATCATTGACAAAGGCACCTTTGAAAGTTAAAGAGGTTATTAAAAATAAACACATTTATAAACATGTACATTTATGAATAAATAATTCAATTAAAATTATATCCAAAATAAAATTATAAAAATAAAGACAGCATATATATTGTATGCACTGAAACAAAATAAAAAGCAAACTTTATATTGATTATTTGAACACTAGAATGTAACATTAACGGAATCATTACTTTAAGTATAAATTCATATACTGCTGTAAATCTACTCCTTAGCCATCTACATCTCTAACACCATATCACCAGTATTTTTTGGGAAGAATATACATATAGTATATGTATATATATTCAATATGGTTTTATTAATTTCATAAATTTATTTATAAGATTACTCAAAATTTCTTTTTATTATTATTGTTAATTTTGAAATTAATGATCTCAATGGCTGTGTAAATCATAATATCTTTAATTAAGGAATTTTGCCAATGACTGCCTTGCAGGGTATAGTTGCCCTAGATGACCTAATGACCATGGAGTGTGGGACACAAAAGCTGCAGCAGACAGCAGGCTGTTATTGATATTATTGATACATTTATCTTATTCTGATGACACATTCTCATGAACTATTGATTTGCAAGATTTCAAAAGCCCTGTTTAGCTGGGGGTAATGATTTGCCAGAATTCCAACATTCTCTTCCCCCTCATTCCCAGAAGTCTGTCTGTCCTTGAGGAACTTGTATTGAATTTGTGTCTAGTTTGATTTTGTCATATTTGGGAAGAGTAGCTACTTTGGAGGAGGGAAATTGATTAGTGCACCACATTTTGAAGCCTGAGGTTTCACCTTCTATGAGTGCATGAAGGAAAATAAGCGCAGTGGAAGCAGGATTTGTGGGGTTAAGTGTCAAGTAGAATCGAGGCTTGCCCTTTCTCCAGGGCTGGTGTTATTTCATGAGGTAGGTCCCTTTTGGGGCAAATGACCCACCCAGTGCTCACGTGACCCGCCTGAGTGCACACTCACGACCTGGACGAGAGCGCACATGACACTCTCATCACCATTTGTTTAGCTTTGACTACAATGCTTTTATCCTCTACTCCTTCCCCGCCACAATAGCACAAACCCTGAGGGGAGATCTCTCTCCCCAAGATTTCTTTCAGGTAATATATCTCCTCTGTGCACTTTTCCTTTAATGTTTTCAGTGCTATTCCTTTAGTGATATCCTTATTCTAGTTATTCTGTAGGGATCCCATGGACTGTCTTTAGCATTTTGTCTTCAATGCTTGTGTGGGGAAAACCAGGTTAGTATAGTGTCCCTACAGAGTGCTTTGTTAATAAGCAACTACCACTGTGACTTCTCCCTCTGACTTGCAAGAGTCATATCACATTGATAAAGATGCCTGTAACATACTGGCTCCCACATACACGTCTTAGTTTTTGTTTTCTCATATTTGGAAAGAAAGTAGCTAGTTTGTTTCCTCTTTTTTACTTGAATCATCTTTAATAGGACATTTTCTATTCTCTTTAGAGTTATTCAGCTTTCTTAAACCCATACACATTGTGCTCTATTTTCCTACAGGGGATATATGCTTAACCCTGCAGTTAGTCTTCATCAGTGATTGGATTGAATGGCTGCTTACTGTGGTCACCTACAGTTTGCCTTTCATGAAGGCCCTTTCCCAGTTTTTATAATTTTTCAATTACTGTCTGTTCAGAATCACTGGTGGCTGAAGGCCATTTTGTCACCACTGCTGGGTTTATTAGAGAGAAAATTTTATTCTAGAGAAAACAAGATTAAAAAAAAAATCCTGAACACACCTCTCGTTTCTATTTTTGAAACTCCCTTTTCATTGTCACTTGGCTACATTTCCAGCTTTTGTTCCTCTCCTGGGTTCAGGTCTGTGGAATCAGATTTTCCCATAATCAGTGCCGACAGTTTCTTCCCACTTAAACATTTCTAAGAGTGGATAATACTTAATAAAGGAATAATGAATTTCTAAAATCTCTTTGGGGTTAATAAAGCAGAATGGAATGGCTGAGAGGAAAAATTATGCTCAGAAAGGTAAGGGCTAAAAACAGTTTTATAAATTTGTCTAAACAGTTTATAACTTCTTCCCTAGGTAATATATTTTTCTTGGTTATTTAGGCCCCCCCCCCCATATATCTTTATTATTCTTACTTAAATCTAGCCAATGTTTTACTTTGCTCTATAAATAAAGTGACAAACATGTTGCCTTTGAAATCTCTCTATAACTCCTTTTTTACTGTCTACTTCTACAGTTTTAGATATTTCCCCTCTGACTATTATTTTCTCTTTTTGTTTTATGGCCTCTATTATTGTTTTAGGTTTTCCCTTTCCTAGTACAATCAACATACAAAAAAAGCCATTTCTTCTGAGATCTCTTTGATAAATCCTTTCCTCCTTCTGTGAATTACTGCCCAAAGAAAACGGAATCTGATCATATTCTTCCCAAGATTAAATCCATTCATTGACTTCACATTATCTAGCAAAGCATCCTAACTGGTGTGACCTGAGTAGGTTCAGAGGTGACATGATATCGATTCTCTCATTCTTTGGCGTGTGTGTGTGTGTGTGTGTGTGTGTTCACTGAGCAAGGCTTAGGTTAGCTAGCCCACTGGGCCAGTCAGTTCTTTCTGAAAGAAAAGTAATTCATTTACCACAGAGTGCCTTATAATTGTTAGTGTTCTCTGTGAATGCCAAGATATTAAATAGATTGGGAGTCACTGCTGTAAGAATCCAAGATCCCTGAAAGACAGATCCTACCATTCACGTAGTGAACAGAACATACTCAACTACTCATCACTTCCAGTGTAACGCAGGTCCCCCCAGATCTCTGAATTCCACGGTTTCCCCAAGCTCTTTTGACATTCCTCCCCTCCCCCAGTATTTCAT